AAAGAAAGAAAGAAAGAAAGAAAGAAAGAAAGAAAGAAAGAAAGAAAAGGAAATTGCCTCTGCTACTCAGTTGAAATTCCTAGGAATCAGACTTCTGAAAGCAGGGAACCCATATATGGTGATGTAGCCACAGCCTCTGCCCCAGCTCAGTGTCTCCAGTATTAGTTCAATTCAGGGAGAGCTGAATAATGCTCCAATGTTCATTCTTACTAGACCATTGATTATTCAGTTTTGATTACAAGATTAATGGCATTTGAGCAGGTTTATTACCATATTGTATCTACGTGAAACATGATGGGTAGGGAGGGATTTTACTTCATTCCAGTATCAGAACTTTTACAAACATAGAAATCCAAAAGTCACCGCACTGACAAAGACTCCACATTGTATCATTAGTGTGCTAATTATTCCACAGGAGAGTATTCCAAAATGAGAAAAGTTATTACAAATTTTGAATATCAGAAATTATGCTGCTGCAGTAAAATAAAGCTTGTCTATACATAGTCCATTAATTAAAAAAAACTCATTTCTTTTCATTAAAAAATTTACTAAAAAAGTATTCAAACTCTTACTTTTTTTCAAGAAGTGAAATGTCACATCTGACCAAATAAATAGATTATAGAGTAGAATTTACTTAAAAATGAAATAGAAATTTTGCCATATCTTATATGTTGGCAACACAAAAATATACAGGTGGTAATTTTACCCACAAGAGGGAGCCTGTATTTTTATATTTTTTGTTACAGAACTTGACAAACTTGAATTAAAATATAAAATTCTCAAAATGTTTGTTGATACCATATTATGTCAGGTCAATTTTTGAGAAAGTCAGACTTTAGTTGGCATAATTTCATTCAACCATAACATATCACTACATCAGATGATTGGAAATATAATTAGAATTTTTAAAAATTTCCTACCTATATTGTAACTTTTTTTCATGTATAAGAATGAAAATGTAACTGCCAAACCAACCTAGGAGAAAATTCCTTTTAGGTGGTTGTAACATTAGTTGGGTAAAATTGACTAGAATTATTACGAGTGCTCTGCACATAGAAGTGAAATGATATTTCAGTCATCCTTTTATCAGAAAAGAGGCTTGTATAAACCAATAATTTTCTATGCATTTGTGGAACAGGAAACATCCTATTTAAAACATTACTCTGATGGCCATTCTCACCAATATTACTTAAAACTTGCCTAAGTAAGGGCATAACTGACATGATGCCATAATGAACTCTCCTTTCTTAGAGTTGAGAATAAAAATGTTTTCTTTAAAAAGAATGTAAGCTTGATTCCTTTGTATTCTATAATCTCCCTAAACAATATCTTAAATTACTAATACTTATGCTCTAGGTTTTATAAAAATAAAATGCATTCATCAACTTAAAAACTAATCTTATACAAAAATGGGGGCAACTCTTAACAACCCAGACTGATCTGCTGTATCACATTCAGAGACAATAATAATCCAGCTGAAATTTGTTTTGTGAACCCTCGTAAAGCGCACAGAAGACAGATAACAAACGGTCCCTCTCCCTCAGAGTCCTTCTCGGCTACTCCACCATGTTAAATAATAGGAGCAGGGAGTTGAAGAAGAAGGGGTTAATCACTGCTGCTGTGCTTCCTTCTGGAATTCCAACCTACCCATTCAATCATTGTTTTTTCTCCCACTAGGGACTGTGAATCTAATGGACCTAAAATCAATACCTTATAAATGACATAAAAAATATATTCATTTTATGGACTAATGTACCCTAGTGTCTGAATCCTATTTACACCCTCTACTTTAAAAAGGAACAACAGACCCATTTCTGCCAGTAAAAGGTTACTCAGTCACTCTGGTGACATGCTGCAGAATGCACTGTCATCCTAAAGTGCAGCAGGAGGGAAAGATTGGTGGCTGCAAACCTCTACTGTAAAAACTTTAAACCTGGTGAGGCGTGCTTGCATGCAGAAACACAATCAGGGAGGAGCATGGAGGTAGCCTCCTAGAGTTTACCGTGTTCCGAGGCGGGGTTTGCAGGTCTCCGGTTCCATTATCAGGTTTCACAACTTACATAAAAGTTTGAGTGCATCAAATATTACATATTATTAAAAAAACAAACAAACAAACAAACACAACTTCCATTTAAGAGTGAATTCTATAATGACTGAAAAAAATGGATAAAAAATCCTGAAAGGCAGAAGTGCTCATAACGTACCGAAGAGAATGTTAGCCAAGTAAACATAATTGTGAGATTACACCACATTAAGCCACAATCATAAATGAGCTCTGGGGAGACTGAGGGCATTTCATCTATCAGATGCACCAGTAAAACAACCAAAAAAGATACATGACTTTCTGTTGTGTTTTTTTTATATATTAAGAAAATCTATATATACTAATGAGAAGGTTTTATATTTATAGAATATTCTTTAATCCAAAGGACCCACATACTTGCTTCAAATACCATTATTATCATTTAGAAAGTATCATGTTTAGCTTAATAAAAAACTCTCCACTTATAATCTATTAGTAACTTTATTTAGAGAGTATCTTCTACTTTTAATATTTTTTTAAGACATCAAATATAGAACAACCCTGCAAAACACAGATGCCTGCAATGCAAAGATAAAAGTATGGCAAAAAAAAAAAAAAAAGGTAAAAAAGAAAGGAAAAAGAAAGCTAAAAACTGAAAACTAAAGGAAGATCTATTTTCCTGAAAAAACATCATTTGACTTACTCTGTTTCAATGGGTACAAATCAGAATAAAGAATAATGAACAAGAAAAGCAACTTGAAAACAGATACTTTTTGAGAGAATTCTAGCAACAGGTCAGACTGAGATTCCCTGTTCAGTTTTACTGGCTTAAAATCCATATAGTTATAAAATTACAGTTTGAAATAAAAAAAAAAAAACTGTTGTTCTTTATTCCAATTGCCAACCAGAGCCATTTATCCCCTATTAGATAAAGTATAATAGACTCTACCGAAAGGGTCATTGGCCTTCCATTTAATGATATTGCCAGCCCCAATCTGCATTTTCCCGGCAATGTCCCTCAACACAGAATAAATGGCTGATCTCTTCACAATAACAGCTGATTTCTATTTATTAAGCTAAAAAGGTCACCATTTTCTACGGCTGGGCCGCCCTGCACTATTGATAATTTTATGCATAAACAAATGGCAAATTTGTGCCACATAAATATGCATTAGCAATTACTTTTTCCTCGGGCAACGCTCACCGCATGCAAATGTGTACCTCGAAGGGCCTGGTAGCTTTTGTTTTAGCTCTTGAACAGTGAAACAAAAGAGCACAATAAACAATTTTAAAATTGCCAATCAATAAGCAATGCAAATGCAAAGGTAAATGGCAAGAAACTTGCTTAGAAACAACAAAACAAAAAGCGAGGTGGAAGCGGTCGGTGGAAGGATTTTCTTTCTCATATTAGTTCATTTCTTTTCTCTTCCATAATGAAAAGGCTAAAGTACTCTGGACACAGAACAGCTACCGAGGCTGGTGCTAAAGCAGATGGCAGATGGGAAAGTCGAAAGTATACACATGCTGAGTAAAC